ATTAAATCAACTTTTCAAATTTGGACGCCTTATGCTCGAGCTTGAGGGTCAAGGCTCGAGCACTCTAAGGCTGGGCTCGAGCACCCTTTGTTAAGGCTCGAGCTTGAAGGTGCAAGGCTCGAGCTTTAATGCCTTATTGATTTTTCTAGATCTTGAATTCTTCCAAACTTCACCATTTGAGCCCTCGGTTTGCTCTGAATGACCGGCAATGACTCTGTAAGCTTCGATATCAGTCTTTTCATCATAAAATCCTGGTTTTAACCGCTTCTCTTGGAAAATACCTATAAACACACATTAAACATAAATTAGTCTAACAATAGATAGAAGTATCACTTTAGGCCTTAACATACGCATATTTAGGTGCTCGAATATGCAATATTCAGCACTCATCATACCTGCAAACTTGCATATTGCTAGTCCCTTAGCAATACAGAACTAAAAAGTCACTTTAGTAGAAATCACAATTACATTTAGCCTATGCAACAAGCCTTTAAACCCCTAGGTTACCCCTAGCGGACGAGGTATAGTCTCGTGAGGGTTTCCAGTGAAAATACCCACAAACTTCTCAAATCAGTGCCTTAAGTGCACAATAAGCTCATTCAAGCCTGTTTTCAAATCATATTATCCCTACATTTCATTAATCAGTCAAATATAGCAAGTACAGCTAATCATGTAATAAAAAAACTTTCAACTTCCAATTTTAATTTAGTAACCATGGTCCCTACATATCAGTTTAATCATTCATTCAACAATCTCAATCTCCAATACACTTTTTAGAAATGAACTTACAATTAAACGTGTGGATTACTGTCCATACTTACATTTATTCCTTCTTATCCTTTAATTTACAGGCAAACTTTTCAAATTCCAACTCCCAAGGCATTTATTATTTTTTTTTCAAGGTATGCATGTTTTTTTAAAAAGGATACTGTGCAATGTTCAGATCTATTAAGCTTTCTAAATCAATCATGTAACGAACTTTCAGCCAATGACTCCCAGACTAGACGATCTTAGGGCATTAAATGATAAAGCACCCATCCGGACCTAATTGTTCAAGTAATCTAGGCAACCTAAACCCCTTACGTAACAAGCTTTCAGCTAATGACTCCCAGACCAGATGGTCTTAGGGCATTAGGTGTCAGAACACACCACTAAGGACTTAATTGCTCAAGCAATCTAGGTACAGACCTGAACTTAATCATTTTCTACTTCTTTTCTTTACCTTTTTTTTTTTTAGGTACTACCTGAGTATGACTCACCCATTTGCTATCTGATATGGGGTAGATGATTCCCGCATCTAGCAACTTCACAACTTCCTTCAAAACCACCTCCTTCATATTAGGATTCAATTTTCTTTGGAGTTCCCAAGATGTTTGAGAATCCTCCTCCAAATGAATCTGATGCATGCAAATCGTGGGGCTAATTCCTTTTAAATCAGCCACACTCTACCCAATAACCTCTTTATTTTGCTTAAGAACTTTTAAGAGACTAATTTCTTATGAACTTATAAGAGTGGAAGCAATTATTACCGGGAGGGTGTCATTTAAACCCAATAAAGTATACTTTAGCTTGTCCGGAAGTGGCTTAAGCTCACGCTGGGGTCGAGACTCTAAGGAAGGAATAGGCAGAGTACTAAAGTAGAGGAAGAGGCTCAAGTCTAGATTTCCATGGAGGGAAATCTATGATAGGAGTGGAGTTGAGCAAATAATTTACTTCAGCTATGGAAGATTCGATATCGAAGTCTTCATAATTGAAGTGATTCAGACAAGCTTCTAAAGGATCCTTGGATAAAATAGTTGGGACTAATTCCTCAACTAACCTATCAATAGCGTCAAGGAAGAAGCATTCACTATCATTGTGAGGATGATGAATATCATTAAAGATGTTTAGCTTGACTTTCATATTTCCAAAAGATAAATCCATGGCTCCAATCCTGCAGTTAATGCAAGTATTTGTTGTAGCTAGAAAAGGACGCCTAAGAATGACTGGAATATACTTTTTAGAATCATGGACCGATTTTGTATTAAGAACTAAGAAATTAACGGGAAAGAAGAACTTGTCCACTTTTATGAGTACATCTTTAACAATACCTCATGGTTGTCTGACAAAACTGTCAGCAAGCTGTAGAACAACCGACATAGGTTTTAACTCTCCCAGACCTAACTTTTCATACACCAAGTATGGAATAAGATTAACACTTACTCCAGGATCAAGAAGTGCTTGCTCTATCACATTGTTTTTAATAATGCAAGAAATTATAGGAGCACCAGGATCTTTAACCTTTAGAGGAGTGTTGTACTTTAGAATATCATTGACTTGCTTGGTGAGACAAATTTTCTTAGAAATTTGGCTTTTAGATTTTCTTTTGAGAGTGTACAAGTCCTTTAAAAATTTGGAGTATGCGGGAATTTGTTTTACAGCATCTAGCAAAGGAAGATTTATTTTGACTTGTTTAAAGACCTCCATCATATCTTGAATTTTCTCCCATTGTTTACTAAAGTTGGAGGGTTCCTTGAGACGTTCAGAATAAGACGCTCTTGGCTTATAAGCTGTCTCATTAGGAGCAGATGAAGATGTGACTCCACCTTCAACTCCCGTGGTGGATTGTGGAATAGAACTTGAGGAAATATCATTGGGATGTTGATTATGGATGATAGAAACAATGGGAACCCTAAATCTTTCTCTTTCTTTCTGTTTTCAATTTGATTATCAACCACTCCACCACTCCTCATTGTAGTAATAGCCTGAACTTGCTCATGATGAATACTTGAGAAATTGGTTTTATCAATCATGTACGTCTGCCCTTTTGGGTTGGCTACTGGCTAACTAGACAGCTTTTCATCCTCTTTTCGAGATAGAGAACTCGCTATTTGCCCAACTTGTGCCTCTAGCTTTGCTATGGCTAGTGAATGAGAAATTAGAAGTTGGGTATTAGCTTTAAGATCAACAAGAGTATTGAGTACTTGATATTCAAAAGTAGAATTTTGAAGTGGAAGATTAGGAGTTTGAGTGGGTTGATTCCTAAACTGAGGTAGACAATAGATACCAGATTGATTGAAAGAGTTATTTTATGACATAGAACTAGATGAATTTTGATACTTGGTGGTGGTCTTGTCGTCACTACACTATAAGCTTAGGAGTGTGTATTAAGGCGAGGGCCAAGTTTTACATTTATATAAACCACTACTACCTTCACTAAAAATATAGTTAGGGTGAGTAGGGATCGTCCCAAGGGATTGGAGTCGAATTTGGTTGTGGAATCACTATTAGGGTTAATAGGTCGAGTGATCAAACAAATGGTTGGTTGGTTGATTAAACTAGAGAGCAAATTAAACTAAATAATTGAATGCAATAAAGAGTAAGTAAGAGAGAGAGAACTTCGGGTTTAGAGGTCACCACCAAACAATGCTTTTCTACACCCTTAACTAGTGATTAATGAGGGAAATGTGTGTTGCAATATTGATGTGTGTGTTTGTTTGGTTAATTCAATTAGCAAGGGTGACCAATTAAGCATACATTGTCTAATCAACATGTGAAAAGCACAATATATCTAGCAATTAAGTATATACTATCTAATTAGCATGTGAAAAGCACAATATATCTAGCAAGTCATTAATCCTTTCATTAAGCTCACAAGCCAAATATACCACAAGGTTAGAGACATATGCTACTTACATTCAAAAGTATGGAACATCAAACAAAAAGCATGGATTGTCCTCCCATCTAACAACTATGCTACCACTACACTACAATTAAGTTAATGACATGAAATTAAACTAATTAAGCTAAGGGAGAGGCACAATCCATCAAGAAATGAGCATGAACCATCTAGAAAATTACAAGAGCATTCCTTTAAGCACAATGTTTTGACAATCTCTAGATCTATGGCATTAATACACATAGACATGCATCAATAACACAAGAAATAGAGACAAACACATGAACATCTATTCTAGCATACATAGACATATGGATAGAATGAAATGATCAATTGGAAGCATTAAACCACATAAATCATTGAATAAACAAGATATATATATATAAAACTGCCAAAACATGTATTACAACACTAATCCCCCAATAATACACAAAATCAAGATGTAGAAAGCATGTTTGGGGCTAACTCTAGCCCTAAGAGGATGTCTAGCCACTCATGGTAGTGCTTCTCTAACCTTCAAGGGCTAACTCCATGGTAGAGATTTGCTTCTTGGTTGATGAAGAGTCTCCAATGGTGTCTCTAGCCTCCTCCTCCTCTAAGCTTGCTCTCCAAGAGTTCTTACAAGGTATCAGATGCTATGATGTGATATGTTGTAAAAAGTAATCCTTATCCTTATATAGGTATGTCAAAATAACACACAAAATGAGCTGGGGTCGTGCACAAAATATTTCCCAATGATTGGATAAAGGATAACTTTTTGTGAGCTGGAAATTTAACTTTTTCACACTGGAGGAAGTTCGATTGATTGAACCTTGGATTTCGATCAATCGAACATGGCTGAGATCTATCAAACTGAAGTTGGATCAATCCTCAATGGCGGCACTTTTTGGATAAAAACAAATCTGAGATATTTTGAAGATATTTTTAGGAAAAGGCCAAAAGTGGTTGCTAGGGTGGTACAACAAGATAAGATCAATCATTTGGATAAGGACAAGGTAGTTCGATTGATCAAAGAATGATGTTGGATGCAGATTGAAGAATGATGTTGGATGCAGGTGGATGCAGGTCGAAAATTTTTCTAAGTGTTGGATGCAGATGGAAGTTCGATCGATCGAACTCTCATTTAAGATCGATCGAACTTATGCAAAATGCTCAATCACAACATAAAAATTCATGCAATCCTAATCACAGTTCCTAGCAATGCATATGAACCAAAAACAAGTATTTAGACTTTGCAAGAAATGAAATTTAAGATAGAAATGAGGGAGGAATAGGGTTTTGACACCCTACGAAATATCGTGCTTGTCTTTAACGTCTTTAGCAAGACATTGGGCTCTTTTAGCCCAGATCAAAGATCTTGTAATGCATCCCCTCCTTGTTGGGGTGATAGATGCTTTGAACTCCACCCAACAAATAGTTCTTTGAAGAACTTGTTATATTAAGTTCAAAAGAAATTTTTGATCCCTTGTCAGTGCAATCACAACCTTTGGGCTTCCATGCCCTTTCAAGGCAAGAATTTTAAACAAGACTTTGAGAATGCAAAGTTGAAGATTATCCTTTTGAAGTTTTGGTCTAACACAAAAGCTCACTTCCTTAACATTGAAGATCATGACATTTATCTACAACATTGTCTTCTCCTTCATATTTGTCAAATGAATTGGGTATGGGATTGAAGATATTCAACTTTACCTTCAAGTGGCCAAATGAGATCTTCATTATCCCCGTCCTATAATTGATGTTGGCATTAGCGGTTGCCAAAAAAGGACGGCCAAGGATAACGGGAATTTTACTTTTAGGATTGGCGACCGGTTCCGTGTCAATGAAAACGAAATCAATGAGGAAGAAAAACTTGTCAATCTTAATCAATACATCCTCAATGATACCCCTAGGCTTAATGGATAGGTCGGCAAGTTGTAAAACTACCAATATCAGTTTCAATTCACCTAGGCCCAATTTGACATAAACCGAGTATGGAAGAAGGTTAACACTTGCTCCTAAGTCAAGAAGCGCCCGATTAATGATATGATCACCAATGATGCATGAAGTAGTAGGTGAATCGACGTCCTTAAACTTTGGTAAAGTGTTATGTTGCAAAATTGAGCTTACTTGCTCGGTTAAAACCACTTTTCTTAGTGCTTGGCTCTTGTTCTTCTCCTTTTGGGTGCACAAGTCTTTCAAGAATTTGGCATAAGCCGAAATTTACTTGATTGCATCCAAAAGTGGAAGATTGACTTTCACTTGCCTAAACATTTCCATGATTTCATTGGTTTTTGCCTTTTGCTTGTCTTTTGAAATAGATCTTTTTAAGGCATCCAGAATTGGAACTTTTGGCTCAAACACTTTTTCAGTACTTCCTTTTGAAAAGTCCTCAACACAAGAATTTTTAAATCACTTTGTTTCAAATCATTTTTCAACAGAATCTGTTCAAACTCATTTTTCGGCAAATCTTTCTTCAAATCATTTTCAAAATCACTCTTCAAATCACATTTTGAAGTTTTCTCATTCACAAGATCATGTATATGCAATGAAGGAGGAATGGGATGTAAAACGGGACGGGTGACAACTTGAGGTTGTACCGGTTCACTCTCTTCATTCGACATTTCAACTTGATTGTCCACAATCCTACCACTCCGCAAGGTAGTCATCGCATTAACATGCTCAATGGTGTGGCCTTCCGATAAGGAATGGGTTTCCACAACACATTGTTGCTTAGGTGGGGCATTTATAGGCATTTTTCCCTTCTCTCTTGTATTAAGAGTGCTTGCTATTTGCCCTACTTGGGTTTCTAGCTTCGCAATAGATTGAGAGTGGGAATGAAGCAATTGTGTGTTAGCCTCTAAAGTGCCCAAAGCATTCAATACTTTTTTTTTCAAAGGCGGGACTTCTAACATTTCCTTGGGAATAAGATTGGTTGGGAAAATGAGAGTTATCAAATTGATTCCCTTGTGATTGATAAGGTTTATAACCTTAGGATCCTTGGTTTTGAAGTGGAGGTGGAACGTACTTCCCTTGAAAACCGCCTTGGGAAGGGTTTGAGCCCTCTCCTTGGTTTTTTCAAGAGAAATTCGGATGATTTCTCCAACTTGGATTATAATGAGTACCATAAGGATTGTTCCCTTGGTTCACAAAAGCTGCATTGACTTGTTCATTAGGTTCATTTTGCACTTGTCCGTGAGGACAATAAGAAGTAGAATGAAGAACACTAGAACAAGTCATACATGTTTCATTTGATGCACGATAAGAATGGTTAGGGAAGGAAGATACTTGGTTTGTCGAGTTTTGGTTAATAAAAAATTGATCAAACCTTTGAGATAAAGACTTCATTTCGGTGGCTATTTCATTTGAATGGTTTACTTGATGTAAGCCAACACTTTTCCTACCTTGTGAATTTCTACCCTTCTTGGATGATAATGTTCTATGTAAAAAATTTCACTCATGCTCTCATAAAGACGCCACACGTCATCCTCATGCCTATCAATGTATGAGCCACCCATGGAAGCATCAACCATGCCTTTGTAATTGTCCGATAAGCTCTCAAAGAAATATTGAACTAATTGCCATTTGGGCATATCATGATGTGGACACTTTCTAAGCAATTCATTTAAGCGTTCCCATGCCTCATGAAACGTTTCCCCATCCCCATGTGAAAATTCTTGAATTGAGGTTCTCATGGCATTGGTCTTAGAAATCGGATAGTACTTCTTCAAGAACTCTTGTTGCATTTCTACCCAAAAAGTGATTGAAAAAGGCCTAAGATTGTTAAACCAATACTTTGCCTTGTCTTTTAAGGTGAATGGAAAAAGTTTGAGTCTTAAGACCTCTTCCAGCATGTTCGTATATTTTACGGTGGAACATACTTCTAGAAACTCATCCAAATGCTTGTAAGGTTCTTCACTTGGAAGTCCATGATAGTTAGGAAGCATTTGAATGGTTTGTGGCTTAATTTCATAGTGATGTGCTCTAAATGGTGGAAATTGAATGCATGTGGGTGCATTGTATTCATTAGGCACATAGTGATCTCTTAAAGCAAGTGGAGGATTAGCAATTTGAGGTGCAACATGGGCACCTTGATTTTGATTTCCTTGAATGATGGGAGGTTGTGGAGCATACATTGGCCTTGGCATTCCAAATGGAACTTGGCCTTGTTGTTGTTATGGTTGGTGGATGAATGGCCTAGGCATGTCTAATGGTGCTTGCATGTTCTCATGATGCACATTTGGATGAAGGATACCTTGTTGGTCTATATGACCAAGGTCCTCTGCATGCTCTTCATTATGGCCTTCCATTGATGTAATGGTTTGGGTAGAACTAGAACTTCCTCTTCCCCTAGGATTTCTAACTACGGATTCAAGATGCAAATGAAGAGGGACAAGAGTTGGTCTAAGTGATCTACGACCATGCATGCACAATGTAAAAACACATAAACACAATGAATGAACAAACACTTCGACTTCACAACAATTTCAATGAATCTTCCTCCACAAACACTTAACCCATACTCCTATGCTTCAACAACAATGATGTAAAGAACAATTAAGAATGCCTCCACGCGGGCTCACGATTTATCTAAGAATTTAAAAACAAGCTTCCACACGGGCCGACGATTTAACTAAGAGATTGAGTAAAGAAAGTCTCACAAAGGTCCTATAGCACTTCAACTCCAACTTTATAGCTTAGCTTAGCAATTTTGTAAAGTTTTAGCATTTTTCCTTGCTTGCTTATCTCCTTTGCTTGAATGCTCCTTTGCTTACTTCCTAGCTCAATGCTCCTTGTCAAAGATAAACAAACACAATAAGTAATTAAAAGAAAAATAAAAACTAAGTAAAGACACGATCAAAAGAGTACTAATTCCTAATTGATTCCATAAATACGACGTTGCCTAATCCCCGGCAACGGCGCCAAAAACTTGGTGGTGGTCTTGTCGTCACTACACCACAAGCTTAGAAGTGTGCATTAAGACGAAGGCTAAGTTTTACATTTATAAAAGCCACTACTACCTTCACTAAAAATATAGTTAGGCTGAGTAGGGATTGTCTCAAGGGATTAGAGTCGAATTTGGTTGTGGAATCGCTATTAGGATTAGTAGGTCGAGTGATCAAACAAATGGTTGGTTGGTTGATTAAACTAGAGAGCAAATTACACTAAATAATTGAATGCAATAAAGAGTAAGTAAGAGAGAGAGAACTTGGGGTTTAGAGGTCATCACCAAATAATGCTTTTTTACACCCTTAACTAGTGACTAATGAGGGAAATGTGTGTTGCAATATTGATGTGTGTGTTTGTCTGGTTGATTCAATTAGCAAGGGTGACCAATTAAGCATACATTGTCTAATCAACATGTGAAAAGCACAATATATCTAGCAATTAAGTATATATTGTCTAATTAGCATCTGAAAAGCACAATATATCTAGCAAGTCATTAATCTTTTCATTAAGCTCACAAGCCAAATACACCACAAGGTTAGAGACATATGCTACTTGCATTCAAAAGTATGGAACATCAAACAACAAGCATGGATTATCCTCCCATCTAACAACTATGCTACCACTACACTACAATTAAGCTAATGACATGAAATTAAACTAATTAAGCTAAGCGAGAGGCACAATCCATCAATAAATAAGCATGAATCATCTAGAAAATTACAAGAGTATTCCTTTAAGCATAATGTTTTGACAATCTTTAGATCTATGACATTAATCGACATAGACATGCACCAATAACATAAGAAATAGAGACAAATACATGAGTATTTATTCTAGCATACATAAACATATGGATAGAATGAAATGATCAATTGGAAGCATTAAACCAAATAAATCATTGAATAAACAAGATCTATATATATAAAAGTGCCAAAACATGTATTACAACACTAATCCCTCAATAATACACTAAATTAAGATGTAGAAAGCATGCTTGGGGCTAACTCTAGCCCCAAGAGGATGTCTAGCCACTCATGGTAGTGCTTTTCCAACCCTCAAGGGCTAACTCTATGGTGGAGATTTGCTCCTTGGTTGATGAAGAGTCTCCAATGGTGTCTCTAGCCTCCTCCTCCTCTAAGCTTGCTCTCCAAGAGTTCTTACAAGGTATCAAATGATATGATGTGATATGTTGTAAAAAGTAATCCTTATCCTTATATAGGTAGGTTAAAATGACACACAAAATGAGTTGGGGTCATGCACAAAATATTCCCCAATGATTGGATAAAGGATAACTTTTTTGTGAGCTGGAAATTTAACTTTTTCGCACGAGAGGAAGTTCTATTGATCGAACCTTGGATTTGGATCGATCGAACATGGATGAGATTTATCGAACTGAAGTTGGATCGATCCTCAATGGCGGCACTTTTTGGATA